GGTCCCTATCACTGTGAGTCCCTTGTCAGAGGAGGAATCACAAGAACCGTTATATTTCAGACTTTGATGTTGTGAGCAACCTCTTTTCTTTATAATTTATCCTACCCATGCTATTTTGCTATAACAACAGAAATCGGACTAAAATAAGGGTTAAGCCACTTGCTTAGGAAGCCAAAACAAGATTTCTTCCCAGGTTGTCTGAATCTATACCGCACTGCTTCCTGCTAAGCTGTGAGAGCTTTGAAACTGTCCTGTTCGACAAATCATTGTTTAGGCAGCCTACACGCACACTCTGCCCGTCTTGGATCCACAGAGGACCGTCTGGCTAAAGGGAACACTTCTTCCAAGGTTCATTTTAGTCTGTTGTTTATAGGACGGTCGTTAGGATGGGTCAGAGCCGGTACATAGGGAGGAAACGGTCCCAGAGGGATGGACATTCCTGAATCTACAGTGAAGAAAAATGGAGCCTGGTTGTCTGGGCTAAAGTCATGGAGTTTCCTGAGGATCAGAGAGTCTGGAAATCTGACTCAGAACCTGAGTTTTCACCCTTGAACCTTTTGTGTCATGAAATCAAATCAAATGGGAATGCCCTCATCTATCTAGTGGTAAAACACACAGCTGAGCTACGGCAGCAGATGAAGGCTGTGGGGGTGGGAAGAGTTTCACAAAGCCAAGGCAAAACATTCACAGATTCCATTCCCCGGCGCAGCCATCCTCACGCATGGTTTTCCAATGGCACGTGCACTTGTGCACGCCCCGAAACAACAATGCATCTAATGCAAGAGAAGCAGCTTCTTTTCCCATTTGCTGTTGGCCTTGTGGCAGCTTACTCCTGCACTATGCGCAGAAAATCCTCTAAGGAATTCTTTCCATTGCATTAGCTTATCCTGTGGGCTGTCCGCAGCCAAGGAGGGAAGAACCTGTTGTGTGTGATAGAATTTACTTTGATTCATTCACTGCATGCCAGGGACAGACACAGATTTGGTAATAATCATATTATTTTGGTAATATTTGGTAGTAGTAAAAATAATAGTGACCCAAGGCTAGAGTGAAGAAGGAAGGTGACGGGAAACCAGAGGAGGCAGGGTATGGACCGCTGATTAGGGAAGTTTGAGATGGGAGTTCTTATGGGTGCTGACAGCAGCTGGCTTCTTACAGCAGACCAGGCCTTCCCTAGCTAGGCTGAGAGGCTGAGCTGGGCCCTGGATCTCCCCTGGACAGCTCCAGCTGGACACAAGAGTAAAAAGAAAAGCTCACAGGGACTGTAGTGTGTGTGTGGCCCTTTTCAGAGGAAGAGCGGAGATTAAAGCAAGCCAGAGTGATGGGCTGGGGACAACTGTAAAGTCAGCAGCTCCTTAATGAACAGAACTCTGGCTAGTTCAGGGGCTGTGAGGCCTAAGAAGGACAAAGGGACAGGAATGGCAACAGGGCAGGGCAGGCCCCGCTTGTACCAAGCTGTGGCAGAAGCCAAGAAGCTAAATGGGCCTGGGGGGCACGCATGTCTTACGTCCTCCTTAGGCTGAAACCATCAGAGGTCAGATGAAGGGGCAGACCAGGGGGAGAAATATCTTCCGTTATGAAACACAGACTCATGAAAAGAATTCGAGCCATGGTGACTTTTAAATGAAATAAACTAAATCTAAGTTTGCAATGGTTGGGGGTGGAGTGGAAAAAAAGAGAAATCCTTTAAAAAAAAAAAAAACAAAACCTTACTCCTTTTACTAAGAAAATAAGGCATTCAAACACACAGACTCTAACACAGAAACTCAAAGACGCGGGGTCTGTTGGAGGCACCTGCCAGCTGGCCACTCCTGCAAGCCTCCGCGTAAGACCCACTTGTGTTTAGATGTGCCCCCAGGTCTTGTTAGACAACAGGCTTGTCCCCTTGTGAGGCTCTGCTTGGTTTCCATTGTACAAAAACTGAAGGGCTCTCCAGTCTGTTGAAACTGCTAGAACACTGAAATCGTTTCTCACAGCCTAAATGGCATTCAGAATAAACACTGTGAATTGATGAAATGACCAATTATGTGAAGTGGTCCTGCCTGGTATAATCCAAACCAAATCTTCCCCCATTATCCTCAAACCGAGAGGGGACTGAACAGCCCGGCCTGCCTGGGAGATCTGAACCAAAAGACGGTGCCACACTTGAGGTCCAAGGAAGACCTCGGGCACGTCTAGCTAATTCTCCCTGCTAGTTTTATGCTAGAAAATACCAATATAGTGCTCAGCAGCTCACAAGCCAAACAAGTGTTAAGCAACCAGAGGCAACCCCCCCCCCCTCCTGAAACTATGATGTCACTTAGGTCTCAACGTCACCTTAGGTTTTCACTTCCAAGTATTTCCCCGTAGAACAGGGAGTCCCCGGCTTTTGTCATAGTTTTTTTTTTCAACTTTATGATGGCGTGAAAACTATATGCCTGGGGACGGTGGAGGGTGCTGTCCTTGAAGAGCAAGGCATGGTGGTGTACAGCTGTAATCCCAGAAGGACCAGAAATGGAAGGTTAGCCCTTACTGCATAGCAAGTTTGGAAGGAAGGAAGGGAGGGAGGGAGGGAGGGAGGGAGGGAGGGAGGGAGGAAGGAAGGAAGGAAGGAAGGAAGGAAGGAAGGAAGGAAGGAAGGAAGAGTCTGTTCAATACCGATTATTCCTGGACGAGGGGTACGGGGGCCTTGACTTCTTACGACACTGGACAGTAATGACAATGTGCAACTGTCGTTGCCACATGTTCACAAGGACAAACCATTGACAATTCACAGTGACTTGTGTTGGTAAGCACATAGTGAGGTAGGTGAAGGCCTATTCTATTCCTGCCTACAGTGGTTTATTTGGATATGGTCAACAAGCACCTGCCATCACGTGCCACATGTCCCCATTATGTTGTCCTTTGGGATGCCGTGTGTTCTTGTGGTTTCCTTCTCTGGCAATGCCACATCATGAATCACACACACACACATGCACACACGAACACACTCCTCTTTCTGTTTTGAGGCCTTGCTGAAATGTCAGTTCCCCAAGGAAGTGATGTCCCTCTTCTCCAAACTTCCTGCCAAACGGCAAGCATCCACAGCTCCACATGGCCCAACTGCCCATCTTTCTGTTCCTGCATCCTGTCCCCTCACCCACCACCCTGGCTGCACATAATCTTCGAGCCTGGATTCCTTCCTGGTCTGATATTGAAAGAAGAAAGCCTCCTACTTGTTAGAGGGCCGAAGAAGGTACTTATACGTCTGAGAAAACAAGTCCATAGGTCAGGCATGACCCTGACTTCTACAGGCATAGAGGGACGCCTCCCTTCTTTGCATCCCCATATCTTTAGGTGTGCAGCTGACTGTAGGCATTAGAAACTTCTGGAAGCCCCAGAAGCCCCCAAAAGATAATTTGGGGAGATGCCTTTAAAGTATGAAAGAAATCTTTTCGGATAGAGGTGTCTCAAGAACTCTAGATGAGTAGGGCAAAATGACGAAAACGTTACAGAAAAAAATACACATTATAGAATACACACACATATTTATTACACACAACTGAATGTAGACCTCATGTACATCTGAAACGTGTATTAGTTTAATTCCTAGTGTATAATGGAATCAGGGAGTTTTTAAATCATGCAGAGAAAAAAGAAAGACACATCCACCATGAAACAGAAACCACTTCAGGCATTACTGACTCTTTCCATGGTTTCGTGTCATAGGTATAAACCAAAAAAACCTGATTCCCCACAGAGTAATCTCAGCCAATATGGAACAAAACAGACTGAATCCTGTAAGAAAAAGCTCTAAGCAAACAAAATCCCAACTCTAAAAGTACTCCAAAGGTGAACAATACTCATGCCATTACGACAGCTCTTAATGAAAAATAGAGACATGGGGGATACTGTGCTTCACTTGAGAAAAACCCAAAGGGTGACCCAAACACTGTTCCCAATCTTAGCAACCATGTGCTAATTCCTTCTCTTTTCTTAGACATTTAGGGCACCTATGAGGGCTATGAAAGTAGGGTTTACTCAGCTTTATCTGTACCAAGAAAACCCCCGACTCTCCAGGTCCCCATTTCACTTGTTATTAAAAAACATGAAATGATGAAAAAGAGAACTGTATCTCTCACCATTGTTAGGACCACTCCAGAAACTGGATGGGAAGGCCTCTTCTTAACCACAGGAATATGTGACCCCTCCATATACATGGCTCCCTTCACAAGACAGGCTGAACAGCCCGCCAAAAGGCATCAAATCCCTGTCCCACAACAACACAGTTCTGAAGCTCTTGGTGCACTGCTGTCCACTTGCCTTCAGGGTTTGTGCTTCCCTCTCAGCCCCAACTCCTGGATATTCAACAAGGATTGGGGGCAGGGGATGAAATCTGAGGGCCATTTACCCACAGAGCAGACACCCAAACAGTCAGAACCCAAAAGTAACTTCTAAAAGAATCGGGCATACGTCAGTTTTCAACCACCCATTCTCCAGCAGCAAAGCAGGGGTGAAAGACAGTTTGAATTCCTTGACAGGAACTAGCACCACATTTGAGGATGGGCTGGAACACAGTCCCCCAACAGGATAATCAACTGTCCCCAGAGCATCAGAACAAACCGCAGCCAACCTTCCAGGTACACAGAAACTGCTAGGAGACAGCAGGAAACAAATGCATCTCCATGACGACGCAAGTGTCAAAACACCCAAACCAGCCTTGATCACCCCAGGTATCAGAAACAGGCAAAGGAGTCTGCTTTTATCAGCCCAGTGTGCTCTCCTGTCACAGTTCCAACTCCATCAAAGAAACAGTCCTGGAGTCCTGGGACGGAGGCCTGGTTTCCAATGCACAACGCACAACAGCCAAGACACCTGAGCAGGAAGAAATAGGTGGGCATTCAGGCCCAGGTCACAGCAGTCACACACCTCTCCAGAGAGCCGCCACGGCTAACCAGAAGGGAGTAGCCCTGGCTAGCACCACGCACAAAAGAGGAGGGAAGGAGATGAGGGAAGAGGAGGCAGTGCTCCCAGACACCTACCTTGCAGAAGGGCTCCGTTTCTCTTGAAGAAGGTACTGCCTGGCCAGATGGGTGGACCTGATGTGCTAAAAGAGAACACAGATGTGGGTGAGGTCGGAGAGCAGGGATCTACCTCGCTCCCCAGCAACCTTTTCCCTGACAGCCCCGTCTCCAAACTTTCACACATGGTGGCCTTGAAACATTCCCCCGGGCATGTTTTAAAAATAATTAGGTTACAAAACAGGCTTTCTTTCCCCACAGCAAAACCATCTTGGCCAAGGTCACACTTGGCCATTGAGATCACCTGCAGGCCACCAGCAAATGCATGTGGTTGATGATTTGATTTGGCCATATCAGTAAGCACTGAATGCTTGCTAACCTCTTCATGAACTCATGGATGCACGTGGCAAACAAGTCTTGTCCGTGTCTTGAGACTGACCAGGGCTGTTGACACTTCCGGGTTATAGTCAGAACTTGTCGGCAATGTACCCATGCTGGCCTTTCCTGCTAGCTCTCCTACCAAACAAACCCTTTCCACACAGATGTGACCTTCATCCGCTCCTGCCCTCCCTTCTGTTGTTCTGCATCTTGTTTTCAATTTCTTGGCTTAAAATGTTGCACTCCATACCCCATAAAACACTCTGCAGACGTGTTGCCACCCACAGTCTAGTAACAGTAGAGGCAAGAACAGGAGCAAGATCAATATATCACCACGGCACTCACTGCATTTCTAGATGAGTGTTTTCACTGTCTTAAGACAGTCGGTGAAAAACTTTATAGCCACCCAATCTTAGTAAAAAACCCTTCGAGTGGAAACTGGGTTATCCTCAATCAAGGACTAGCTTAAGATTAATGTTAGAAAGCCATCAGCTCACAATGTTAGCACAACCAGCCCAAGAGGCGATTTAAATTACTCTCCCCCAAATAGTATATGGCAAATGATGTTGGTTAATGCAGCATCAATCATATTCAACATTTAACAAATTAAAATAGGCCAGAGAAATGTATTAACTCCATCATGTATGCACACACACATGCACACACATACACACACCACACCACACCACCCCCACCCACACACACACACACCCCTGAATTAATACAAGAATGCTTCAGCAGTCAGCTGGAGTCTGGCTGTGAAGGATAGCGATACTGTTAACAAGGAAGGGAGATGCCAGTGGCATTCTGCCTGCCAGAGTTTCATTACCACAGGTACAAATATCGTCATAGCTACAGGGACACAGTACATGATAGAGGAGGCATTAGGAAAGAGAAAAGAGCTACCACATAAAATGCTATTAGACGGCACGATAATGTCAATTGTGCTTGCGAACACGGGCACCCCTTGTTTTACTGGGCTTCCCTTTCGCGGGCCTGGCTATGCTCCAGATTGGGTCCTCCCCCCTTAAGTGAATTATAGGTCTGCACACCGAATGGAGTAACTGCATCAGCACCACTGTCTTCAGTTCCCATGATCCTTAGCCTCTTCAGCAACAAAGCAGTTTTAAATTGGGGTGTGTACATCTACAAATAGTAATAGTGCAAGCAGAATGGACTACTGTACATCTACCGTGTCAACTACAACTTTCCTATGCATTGGGGAAGCAGGAAAACGGTGTCATTCGCTCTAGCGATGGACCTGGTCCACTGCGCAGTTCTGAGCAGAACCTGCACACCTGAGGAGTGCATGCAGTGGAAGCGTGAATGCTCATAGACCTTTCTGTTTCGTTCTGGTTTAGACCCACTATACTAAAAACGGTCAGAAACAATGCATTCCCTACAGCCCAGAGTCTCCGCCCTGGCAGGTGGGGCTTCTGAGTGACAAGGAGACACATGGGACAGTAGCAGACCCTCCTGGGGGCTCAGGGCTATGGGACAATGATGGCAAGCCGGTTTCTCTTCCTGTGTGGTTTCCTTCTTACGGTATCTGGGGGCCCTTTAAGGCTCAGTCAGGAAGAACAAGGTGCATTAAAATGTTTAAGCTGGCCTTTAACAATGCCGGTGAGTTCCCAGAACCGACCATCTTATCTTTATAATAAAGCAAGAAACAGCAAGCAAGGGCTACTGCCAATACTGAACTGGCTGCTTCATAAAGATATTTAAAAACTGAGGACTTCATTATATAGACGAGCTCACTGCTTCTGGAGAATTCAATAATTGAGTATTACCACAGAAGCCTGAATATCCAGCTCACTGCCACCCAAAGCTCCTTTTTATCCTGACCTTGATTTGGCTGAAAACGGAGTAGACAGCCAGGATGGAGCAAATATGGGCAGCTGAGGTCAGATAAACCCAGTGCTTTTAGATAAGGAAAATTCTCTGCATGATAGAGATCTACCGGAGGATTTCTACAGCACCCTTTTAACACTGTAAGTCACCGATCAGTATTCTGTGGTCCCTGTCCCTCTGGTCTGTCCTCAGGAGGTGGAGGGATGTTTGGCCCAGCATACTGCCTGCAGGGGCCCTTTGCTGTCAGTACCTGGTGCATTCAAAGAGCAGGTGTGTGTGTGTGTGTGTGTGTGTGTGTGTGTGTGTGTGTGTGTGTGTTACAATGGTTAGTTATGTGAGCTGGGCATTCCCCAGTGCCATACTCCACATGCTCCTTTTAGGCGTTCCCTCAAAAATGACATCATCTGGCTGTTACCGATTTGAGGATTTGTCAGGTGCCCATTGAGAACTGTGTTTGGTGCTACCAAAGACTTCGGAAAAGAACACCAAAAACCTAGGAAAGCACCAATCCATGACCTCTAAGAACTTAGCTGTCACACTTTCCTCTGATGCCATCTAGAGAGGCAAGAGACACCTGTAGGAAAGCTAATGGCCCGGCTCCAGCTGCAGGCTGGCAGAGCACAAACTTGATCTTTATTTGTGCAGCTGGAGACATCCCCGGCTGATTGGCCTTTAGAGCTCAAAGTCAGTTAAAAACACATCCAAATGAAATTACTTTAAAAATGCATATTAACTACAAGCATTCAGAGAAATAATGGTGTCATGTCTGTGAGGAGCTGTGCCTCCCACCCACCGCCTTTTGCAAATCAAGGGAGGAGAGAAGGAGTGGTATACACGTGGTTAAAAAAAAAAAAAAAAAAAAAAAAAAACAGGCTCTGAACCTTGTCCTATAAACACAAGTGGCTGGTCAACGTCACTTCCACCCAAAATGTCCAGGAAGGACCATGCTTATCATCTCGCCGTGGCTCCCACTGCTGATCACTGGAATGCCAGGCGGTCAACCACTGAGCCTACTGTTCCCTGAGTCCGTGTGGCAGGCAAAACAGAGATCCCAGGAAGTCAAGTGTTAGCTAGTGTCGCCACAGAGCAGACCTGCCTCGCTTCCTTGCTCATTTCCAGCTTGCTCTCCCCTTCCCACACAGGACTCTTAGGCATCCTTTCCCAAGGAAGGTCTTTTGTTAGGAATCTCTCCTAGGCAAAGTCCCAGGCTAGAAAAGGCAATCTGACTAACCATATGTGGAAGACAGTGGGCTCCTATTAGCAGAAACAATACAACGCCCGCGCTGCAAATGTCTCATTTGAATAACGTGCTCACAGTGACCTTCGGCACTATAGGCCATATCAATGCGGGGACAAAGGACGCAGGCCAACAGGTTAAGAGGGACTTGCCTGCCAGAAAGTCTGTCTCTGAACTAGCATTTCTGAACATTGTTCTGCTGACTATTGAGCCCAGTGCTGAACCAACAAAACTCAGGAGAGGCGCAGCATGTCTGCAACAGCACGCCACATTTCCCCAGAGACCCACGGTATTCAGTCACTCCCGGGCCTCACGCTCTTTTCTGTACTCCCAGGAGGATGCTGGGTGCCAACACGTGGTAGGGCTCTGAGGTACTTCTTGGAATCGGGATAGTCTGTCAGATGTCTGCCCTATACACACGAGCTTCAATCATTGTGAACCTGGGGCGTATTATAAACCCAAAGCTCGGGCAATTTTCACCAGTCTGGACTTTTTATGTACCCAATGGCAACCAGACGGAGAAAAGTATGTTTCTCTAAGGTGCCAAGCATGAACCAATAGACTGCAAAGAACAGGATGCTTCAACAGGGAGGGAATGTGAAGGGATGCTAAATGAATGGAGCCAGCAGAGGACCAACACTGTCCTATAACACTGTTCTCATGCTTCCACGAGGTCCCCAGAGTGGCCACTCAGAGATGGAAGCAGCGAGGTGGATGTCGGGGCCGGGAAGAGGGTGTGGACAGTGCTTATTTAATGGGCAGAGTTTTGGTCTTGCAAGGTGAAAAGGTCTGGGGATTGGGCTACAATGACACCATTGCCCTTAACACTATAGTGTAGCACACTTAAAATTGGGCAAGAGAGGGAGGGAGGGAAAGAGAGAGAGGGAGAGAGAGGGAGGGAGGGAGAGAGACAGAGAGGACAAACCATGTCAGGATTCCATCCCTTTAAACTAACTGAGGACAAATCACCAGGAAACAACAGAGACCCTAACATGACCCCCGAGGGAAAGATGTCAAGTGTCTGAAGTGTGTAATGTAGCTATTAGGAGGACCTAGACAGAGATCAGACACAGAGGTTGGGGGTAACAAATTACCCCAACTGAAGGAGAAGCATCACTTGGAAAGTACGCAAATCTCTGCAAGCCTCAGGACACCTACACCGTTATGGCCTCTCATTACCAAACGGGAGCCCACGGAGTCATCCAGAAGAATGGGTGGAAAGCTCGTAAGGGCCACAGGTGGTGGACACCTGCATGCAGCAAAACTATTGCTGAACACGACGGTCCTGTTACACACATGGACTCACAGCAGTTGTGTCTGTGTGCCCAAGTGCAAGCCAGCCAAAGTCCCACCAACGGGTTAGGGAGAGGCTCAGGAGGTCCCATTCCTAACCGAAGGGTGACTGGCCATTGATGGCTGCTGGGGTAGAGGGAATGGATTCCTTGAGAGATGTGGCCTCAGCAGAGAGGCTCCAGCAGTCAGTCCTACACCCTCCTACACCCCTGCACATGTAGGCAGCACTAAGTGAGCAGACTGGGGTGGGGTGGGGGGGGACACAAGAGGTTGGGAGGGACAGTGGAAGGTGACAGTGGGGGACAGGAGAGGAGATGGAGGGGAGGG